TGGAGCTCCAGGTGGCCAGCGCCCATTCATGGAGAGAGAAAGCCAGCAAGACCTTCCTCAAGAAGAACTCACAGCAGAGCCTGCTGGAGGTGGGGACGAGGGGAGGCCGGTGGGGTGGGGCTGTGCCAGCGGGCTGTGAGGACGCAGCTTGCTCCGCCTGTGCATCTCTGAGCCAGGCTGCTGTGTGCTGTAGGTGCTGTGTCCCTGCGTGGACAGGAAGCGGCAGCGGCGCGACGGGAGAGTGTCCAAAGCCGACTCGGACAGTCTGGGTCTCACGGCGCAGGACCTGCGGGATCCAGCTGCCATCGTGAGTGTTTGCACGCCTGTGCATATCGCTGCCTCTGGCTCAGACCGTCGGCCGTGGGGCCGGTCGGTCATCAAGGCGTAGTTATGTGTAGAAGCCTGTCCCTTATTTGTGTCTATATGTGTAAGAAGATGAGTGGAATTACTGCCAGAACTGAATAAAGCTCATGTCTGTTGTGATGAATGTCACTCATATGGCCGCATCACCCACTTACTGGAGTCTGCATCTCTCTCGTAATGCGTTTCTGCTCCTCCTGCTTCTCTGTTTAACGGCCTGTCACCTTCTGCTCCTCTGCTACATGGCACCCCCCTGTCAGGTGTCTGCCTTCAAAGAAGGAGAAAGGAGGGAGAAGGAGGCCGTACAGCGGCTCCAGGAGGTCAACTTGGCCAAGCCGGGACTCACGAATGGCGACAGTGAGGCATGGTGGAGGGGGAGGCAGGGTAGCGTGGAGCAGGATGCCTGCAGCCCCTTGGCGGACTCCAGAAAGGACAAAGCAGTTATCGACCTGACCGAGACTCCTGAGCAGCCGCCGCCTCCGGACGCCCCTGAGGTCTGCGTGTGTGGGCAGCCCCCCCGACCCCCCATCCTCCGCTGCCACCTCTGCCAGGACTGGTTCCATGGCGGCTGTGTCCCCTTTCCCTCCCTCTCGCTCCCCGCCAATTCCCTCTGCTGGTGGGACTGGGACACGCGTTTTCTGTGCCCACTGTGCCAGCGCTCACGCCGCCCGCGGCTAGAGACCATCCTGGCGCTGCTGGTGGCGCTGCAGAAGCTTCCAGTGCGGCTCCCTGAGGGCGAGGCGCTGCAGTGCCTGACGGAGAGGGCCATCGGTTGGCAGGGCCGTGCCAGGCAGGCGCTCGACAGCCCCGAGCTGAGGGCAGCACTGCAGACGCTGCGGGCGCTCCAGGAGACTCTGCGGGGGATGGGCGACTGTGGGGGTGGGGGCGGGGCCAAGGATGACGTCATAGTGCTGTCGGACTCTGATGGAGCGGAAAAGGGCGACCGGGAGGACGGCGTAATAGACCTGACGGAGGATGACGACCCCCGCAGGAAGGGGGTGAGAGGATCTTGCTTCATCTTTCCCTTTCTGAGTGGGTGTGATGGTGTTTCAGGCTGTTTTCATGGGCTGTTCTCTTTACAGGCTGAATGTGAAAATGGACACAGCAGGAAAGGGGGCACAAATGGGGTCAAAGGTCAGAGCCTGTATATAATTTTTTATTCCGATACAAGTTTTCTGTGATTTCCGTAAATAGCGTGAGTCTCGGGTGGTGACATTAGCTTACTGCTGCTGGCCTATTCTGGCCATAATGGTGCCCAATGCGGATTTTCTTCTCCCGGCCCGTGTGAGTGCCCTCACCGGGTGTCCCCTTGACGTCCCAGGCACCGAATCCCTGCTCGCCCTGCTTCCCTGTCTGAGGGGTCCCGTCATAGAGCTCTCCTCTGACACCCGAATTCAGCTGGAGGCCCTGCAGCTTGAGGGCGACATGCTGGAGGTCACCCTGGACCAGACGCAAGTCATCCACCGGCTCCTGCAAGCAGCGTCTGAGCCCCCCCGCCACACGCTGCGCAGTCTCATACTGGTGAGGGGGAGGGAGCAGAAACGTGGACGTCTGGGAGTCCCCGAGAACCGGGGTTGGGGAACACTGCCTTATGGAGTATGACGCCATATATAACCAGATTTTGTTAACTTTGTTGTCCTCCCGTCTCTTTTTCACCTGCCATTCTGTGGCTGTTCCCGCTCCCCTCTGCTGCCGAAGATCCGGTTGCAGGAGCAGGGGGGCGCCGGGCGTGCCGGCCGGGCAAAGGACTCTAAAAGGAAGCGAAAGAGCCAAAGAGGTGAGGGAGAGGCGGAGCAAACCACCACCCCCCAAGATGTCTCGGAGTCGAAGAAAACGCGTCCTCTGAAGCCGGAGCTCCCTCAGACACTTTCCCAGACGCTCTGAGGTGAGGCGCTCGCTGGGGGGGGGGGGGGGGGGGGGGGGGGGGGGGGGGGGGGGGGGGGGGGGGGACACTTGGGTTTAATAAAGGTTATGTCTTATTCCTGATGTTTATTACACAGCTGCTGCTGCTGCTGCTCTTTTGGATGTAATCCATTATGAATTTGCACGTTACGTCCTGCTTTGCTTGGCATTAATATACCAAGGCTTTGGGAGGGAGACGCTGGGAGTTGGACTTGGTTTTGTTTGTCTTTTAATGGCGATATAATCTGTATGTCCAAGTTTTAAGAAGTGAAATGCTGTAATTGAAGGGGAACCATCAGGAATATTTCCAGAAAACCATAAAATGGCATTAAATACAGCTGTGTATGTAAAGCTGTTTTTGTTTTCGATATGTGCGATATTATCTGGAGATTAGTAGAGCTGAAGATGTTTGGGTGGGATCTTAAACTGCTGCTCTGTATTGTGAAGTTTCACGTATCCAGCAAGCGACTGTTGTATATACAGGATACCGGCAGTCATGGAAAACCTGGAAAAGTTTTGGAATTTTTAAATAATTTTTCCAGGCCCTGGATAAGTTTTGGAATTCTTGGCTAGAGAGGGAAAGTTTTGAATACTAGCCTTGTTCAGTTTTGTTTCCCGCTTCGGAAATGTACGAGCGGAAGTCAGTAGTTAATTTTGGTCTAACTACAATAGTTAGACCCAAGATTTCAGGTACTAGATTTTATTTTGTTATTTTTCTTTATACAAATACTGTTGTATCTACTTTCGTTTTACAAACTTGTGGGTTTTGGAAATTTTTCTTCTGGTACTGGAAAAGTCATGGAAATTTATTCTGCCAGAATTGGGGGAAACCTGTATATAGTAATCTTGCATGTACATATATATATACCTGGCGTATTGTTTCACCAGCTTTTTTTGACCATGTATTTTTCAAAAGTAATGAACAAGGTTTTCTTTGTTTTCCCCACCCAGATCTTGTGATGAGTTGGTGATGGGGACAGTCAGGAGGACCCAACAGAGGGTCTGTCACACTTGGCGGGGGGATGAAATGGCAGCCGATGATGGGAGGGCTCTGGCCGGACACACCTTGGCATTATCCCCAGTTTGTCGGTCCTCTTACATTGACGAGTTTCTGCTTTTGTTGTTCACTTGTACACTCCCGCTCTCCGCCTCTCCGAGCTCGCCGTCGTCCTCCGCCGGGCCGCCACGGCTCTCGGTCAAACCTACCCGCTCCTGCTCTCACGGCACAGTCCTGCACTCCTCTTCACCTCTTGCCGGATTCTCATCCCGGTTTGCATCCGGAGCCGGTGCGAGTGGGATCGTTTTCTATCAGACCCCTTAGAGCACAGCACATCCCAGTCTCTTTGTGAATACTTTTTTTTTTTTTTTTTTGAACGACAGTATCTGAAATATACCATGTTCGCAACTTGCTAATTTTCTACCTGGTCCCCTGTTCCCAGGGGCAGTTTGTAATGGATCGTGCTTCTGAAGGACATACTGAGAATAAAAGGAAACGATTGTAAGTTCCTTGGTGCTACTTCACTCTCAACAGGTCATCTTTTCTTTTATCCCTCCAATCCCCCGTCCTTGTTCCTCTCTGCCTCCTTTTCTTATTCGCTCAAGTTGTTGTAAGCTTCACATTTTCTCCACACCCTTGGTTTCTTATGGGTTCCGATAGTTTGTTGTTATTATTGATAATATGGTATTGATAAAAATGCAGACACGCGGTTGTGTGTTTGTGTATAAAGCTTCTTTTTGATGTTGCCCTTAGTTCCCTTTCTCCTTGTTAGAAAAATAAAGGTTCAGTATTGTTTTAGGAAATTGGCTCCTCATTTGGCTCCTGTCACTACTGCCTGCTCGGAGTTGCAGACTCATGTCACCCAAGTAACGGTGTAAAAAACAAGTGAACCTTAAAAATCAGAAGATGCTGTGTCTGTACACATCATTAACTCTGTTATGATATTCAGATCTAGCATAAAAGGAAGCAGTTGTAAGTTCCTTTACTACTACTTCCCTGTCCCCAAACAGGTAATCTATTCTTTGTATCTCCCTGTAGCCTTGCCGCCCCCCCTTTTTAAATGGACTTCCCCCCGCTTCGTAGAACAGGCCACTGGTTTCTCCATGAGCTTTGGTCTGGAGTAGCTGTCCATTACCTTAAGCCAGGAATGTTGCTTTTGTTAGATGTAGTTTGGCCTTTTGAAAACTTGAAATAGAATTTTATCTTTCTATGTTGCCTTGAATAATTAGTCTTCAGCTATGCACATATAATAGTTTGTCATTTGGCTCGTGCCTTTAAATTTTTACAGAAGAATCTCATACACTGACCCCATGACTTAAAAGTCAACAGTTGGAATTCAAGATAATTTTTCCCCTATGTGAATAATTCCTGTAGCAGTCAGGAAGGGAACAGCCTGCTATAATGGAGTCAGTCTTCCTGAAGATGCACACACTGTACAATCCACATTATAACGTTTCGTTTACCTTTTGATCTCATAACGGAAACAAAAACATGCTGCTGTAATTTTATACTCGTTCATTGATGTGTGCTCCTTTGAAATGCTATTATTTGAACAAAAGCTCTGTGCTCCCTGAGAACTGCCGATCTGTGTCAGACGACACCCTATGAATAACACAGTTAAGCACAGGCAGCGTACATGTGGAGGAAGCAACCCTGTGCCGTGTCTTAATCTTGGTGAACACAGACGGCTATTGTAGAGGCTATGATCTGTTAGCCAAACAGCATTCAGGACAATTCGGGATGTATATGTGCATATAAAACGGCTTTATTTTAAAATGCTTCTTGTCGCAGAACATTTATCAACATCACGAGTAATATTTGCACTTTGAACAACCGTTGATACTACTTTCCTTTTCTTAAATAAAACAAGGGATGTTCAGTCGTACACACAAACGCTGACAAAATAGACAATGCACAAATTCCTCAGCAGCACATAGCAGAATTTAAAAGTATATACAACGCATTTCCCCCCCCCCATCCACTCCCCCCCAAAGCTTATTTTGTGCTAAACATTAACACCATGCAAGTCACTTACAGAGTGAAGTTTCTCTACATTGAACTCTTTCTCTCTTGTGTTTTTGTTCTAAATGGTGGTGCACACTTCTATTCTGGCAATGCAGCAACATGAATGATATTTGAATGTAAATGATATTTGAATGTGATCCCCCTGGCATGTCTGGGGTCTTTTATCCTGCTATTTGCTGAAAACACAAGCTGTCATTCTCCTGAGTCCGTCTGCTGTCTGCTTGTCTCTCCTGTGAGTATCTGTTGTGTGCTTCCATTGCCAAGGTCACTGTGCTTTTACGTCAGTGTTTACCTACCTACTATTGTGCCTTTACTTTGTGGAGCACATTCCGCTGTCTTTGCCTGGCTGCCAGTCGAGCTGGTAAATGGTTTCCTCGGGGATGTAAATGGTTATTAATAAATCAGAAGGGTGATGGGCTCTCGTGAGTTGAGTATAGACTTAGACCGGCACTTCCCAGTCTGGTCCTCGGGGAGCCCCAGACAGTCCAAGTCTTTTCTCCCTTCCAGCTCCCTGCCAGACGGAACCACATTTTTGATTCCCAAGGGCCAAGTTGGGAAACACTGACTTGGAGTATTTTTAAGGCGTTTGATGCTTGATGATAGACCAGCAGAGCCCAACTGGTTTAAAAACGTATTTGTCTTTGTCATGACGTATTGAGTCCTTTGTCGTAAATGTTCTAATAATTAAATGTACAGAAAGAGGCACAAAGCAGCGGGATATTGGGGTCTCGCATGTGCTATTTCAAAACGTTTCACTTTAATTTTGTGCACAAAGTTTCAGGTAAAAGACTAAAATGTAAAAACAGTTCAGATTTCTAGTTAAAGATGATGTCATAAACCGCTTAAATAACACAGATAAGTGTCACCATGTGACATCATATGACCATTAAGTAATTAGGACATTTAGAGACGACACATCACACACATATAGTGCACTAAGTGTCTCACTTAATGCTCATATGCTATCACAAACATCTCTAACCCTGGAATCATCATATTTCTTTAGTTCTCCACAGTCTTAAATGATTGTAAACTTTAAAGGTTTAAGGTCTAAGCACCTGCTTCCTTACGTGAAGTGGACCATGGTCCTTTCCCTTCCTGTTTGGCTTATTTTCTCACGAAAGGGCCTATTTGACCCGATAGCATGCCATAACGACATTAAGCTACATTGATATGCAGCCAGATACAGAATCCTAATCAGATCAGAAGTCACTGTTAGGAGTCTGTAACGCCCCCAGAGTCCCTGTGTGCTCTAGTGATCATTTAAATTTCTTGCTGAAGGCTTGACTTTCATTTCAATATTAATAGCAAGATGTTAATGGTAATTCACATGTGACGTTCTCCGGTAAATATGATCAGTTTGTGCTTTTAGCCTGCGATGCATGTTAATAGGGCTCTGGCTGCATCCTTGGGTCCCTCTGCACTGTGTCTACACATCACTGAGCAGCTCCGCCTGTGTCTACACATCACTGAGCAGCTCCGCCTGTGTCTACACATCACTGAGCTCCTCCGCCAGCTCCTCTGGAGCTTAATGTTACCTCCTTGGATAAATGTATCCGTAAGTGGTTGATTGGTTGCCCAGGTAACAGATAAAACACAGTGGTAAGCGAATGCTTAATTTTTAAGGCCAGTAAATGTCCTTGTTTATGGGTCACCACCATACGGTCAGTCGGTTCTACCCCAGCAGGGTGTCTGCTTTAGCACGGCACCTGCCCTTTACACAGGCTGCCTGTCCTCCTTCTAGTCTTTCATCTATCATGTCTCTTTGCATATTTCCTTCCTTTCTCACACAGTAGTCACCGACAGGAGGGGGTTATACACTTTCTTTCCGTCCGCAGAGCGGCTGCCGTGAGCTAGAAGCTCTTGGATGGTGATCCAGTTGTCCAGGATCCTCCTGCTGCGTTTCTTCATACTCTTTCGTTGACTGAGCTCCAGAATGCTGGCCTCCTGTGGAGCCCCCTGCTGGCCGGCCCTGTCGGCGCCGGTGGCGCCCTGCTGCTCGCGTAGGCACTCCAGGCGGCTCTGCATCATGAACTCGCGGCGGCGCCGGTACTCGCGGGCACGCATCAGCTGCTGCTTGCGCTCCTCCTTGCTCCAGTAGCGGCCCATCTTCATCTCGCTGATGGCGTCGTCGTCCGTCGTGGTGCCGCTGCGCTCCTCTCGGATCTTCATGGCCCGCGCCTTCAGCAGCCTGTCCCTCACAGGCCGCTTGGCCACGTAGCGCGAGCCGTCACTGCGCACCTTCACCTTCCACTCCATGCGCGGGGACACAGGGGGCAGGGCTAACGGCAGTGGGGCCCGCCTGCTCTCCACAGCCTCTGCGCTGGTGCTCAGTGGGTTCGGGTTGAGCTGGCCATCATGTTCTTCCTCGGCTGTGGCCTCCTCACCATCCACTGTGAGGTCCATGGGAGCTGAAGGGGACCTCAGCTGCACGCAGCTCTGATAGCGTGCTGGCGGTTTGGCCACATGCTGACGCCGGGAGAAGTAGGGGCTGTTGTCGGCGCTGCGCCCACCCCGCCTGTCCATCGTCCCGCTGCCCTTAGGGCTCCTCCTCAGTCCTACTTCAGAACCCCTCCTAGCACTGTCATCCTGGGACAGAGATCGGAACTTGGCCATGTCCTCGTCACCCTCCTGCACAGCCCTCTTGCTGTTCATGCTGAGGAAATAGGAATGGTTAAGGTTGCTGGCCTGGCCTGCCCTCTCCGTGTGCCTGGCGCTGGCTGAAAGGTCCCGGGGCTCGTCCTCATGGGTGCAGTGGGGGGTGAGCAGCTCGCTGGCTAAGGGCGTGCTGCGGCAGCTCTCGCCCCCCGTGTTGTATGCGCTGCTGCTGTCCTTGTCCGAGCGCTCCCGTTCCGGCACCTCCGTGATGTCGGACAGCTCGTGGTGTGAGGGGTCCTCTGCGACCCCTGGCTCAGTGGCTCCGTGGGCCCTGCCCGCCACCGCTGCCTCCAGCAGCCAGGCCTTCATGCACCTCTCGCGCAGCTGCTGCATCTTCTGCGCTCGCAGGATGTTGCGGCACTTGAACTCCAGGTGGCGCAGCTCCTCCTCCAGCAAAGCCATCTCGTGCTGCACCAGGCTCTCATTGCGGTTGACATCCAGCCTGCCCGCCACCCCAGCCCCGCCCCCACCTACCCCGCGACCCAGCATCAGCAGCGCATTCCCGTTCTTCTCATAGTGACACTTGATCTCCAGGAGCTCGCGGTACCTCTCACACTCCTCCTCGGTCAGCCCCGGCATCATCAGTGCTGGATCGTGGCTGTAGCCTCCCCCACTTCCGCCCTCCAGCCCCAGGAGCGAGTCGGTGCTGAAGTGAAGCTCCCGGGAGTGAAGCAGGGGTGGGGTGTCCCCCCTGCTGCCAATAAACTTGCGCATGCTGCCGGGCGTGTTGGTGGCATTCGTGTTGGAGGCGCTGGTGTGGTCGTCCCCCAGGAGGTCATGCTCCGAGGACTCCTCATTCCTGGTGCTCTCGTCCGTGCGTCCCACGCCGCTGTCCAGCTCCTGGCTGTTGCTGAGGGGATTGGGGCTCAGGGCTGGCGTCTCCCTGTAGGGGCTCCGGCTGCAGCCCACCGCCTCACCACACCGGCTCAGCTGCCCCCCGGCCCGGTGTATGCCGGCTTTTCTCGGCCTTTGGGGGCTGGCCAGGTGGGCAGCGTTGTCTAGGGCTTGGACTTCCGCGCTCATTGCAGCTTGCCTGTCCAAGTTCAGCTCATCTGGATCTAACTGGTTGTCATTCTGCAGTTAATGATGTTTGAATAATTGAATTGGATTTTCCGTCAGGTGTCAGACACGTTGTAGATTGTTATGATCCGGGGACAAAAAGGAGAGAAAAAAAAATATGATTATGTTTCCGCCGACTAATATTAGTATACACCTTAGGTACCTAAAGCGCTGTTCATGATTTTATATGAACACTAGATGGCGACATAGCCCAGCATGAAGTTAACTGCATTTTCACTATGGGTCAAAGTACATTATTTACAAAGAAATATAGAGGCAATATGAATTATTTTTAACTGATCCACACTTAAATTCATTATATCATTCAGCGGTAATAGGCAGGCCTTAAATTTCCATTGCCTAATAAAAGAACTATAAAAATTGTGTTCAAAGCAAAAGCAGTCAATCAAGCATCACATGATGTGCATGGTAAAGCACCTGGGCAGGAAGAATTCAGGAGAGCCAGAGACCAGCTGAAACCCCTCTGCGTCTCACCCTAAGCCTGTGCCGGCACCTGGACCAGTGCGCTATGTGATCCGTGCAGCAGAGTGGCTGAGTACCTACACGCCGCTCTTCCAGGCCTCCTCATGAACCTCGTCCAGTGACACCCATCCCATAACTGCATGCACCTTTGCGCCTCTTCATTCATCATGGTGCATTGATTGGCCCTTAATTGGGATTGTTCTCAGGTTCCCACACAGGAGCGCATCGATCGTCTCTGTCTCATCTGGATTCCAGAAGCCCTCTCCCCTGTGCAGCGCTCCTCGCCACCCAATGCACTGAGCCTGTCTGCTCCCACCTTTTCTCCCTTACTCTCTTCTTTTGTCTACATTTTGGCTTGTCTGCCTGTCATTTTATGTTTTCTCTCTTCTGATATTTGTCGCCCCCCCCCCTCCCCACCTCATTTCCCAGCGTATGTATTGGCAGAAAGCAATATCTTGAAAACCAACAGAACATGAGACCTTTCCAGACAAACACATGCTATTAAACTGCAGTTCCACAGATCTTCTCAGTATACTCAGTGAATCCATGACTGGAAATTCCATGTATGTCCATAAGCTATTTCTTTGTGTCTGTGTAAATATTATCATGTTTGTGCATTGTTTCCTGCATTGCCTCTTTCCGTGTCCCTCTATTGTAGAGCGTCCCTTTGTGTCACACGGCTGAATCTGCTGCCCGTTGTTGTGTGTGGTATTACTGTGCCATGACCTTGAGCAAACAAAGCGCAGCGTGCTGGCACACTCGTCCTCCTCTCTCCATCCGTCCGTCCATCGCTCCCTCCACACTCTCTCCCTAACTGCACCCCTGCTTTCCCCTCCCTGTCACTCCTGTTAAGCTCCTCTTTCCAGCATCTCCTGATATTTCTATGTAGAAAAAAAGACGACTCAGTACAGCATAACCTATTCGTTATCATTTCCACACGGAGCCCTAGCAGTAAAACTGTCAGAAATCGCAGATTGCCTTCACTATGATGTATTAACTTCACAGTGAATGATCGCTGGCTCTCGGCCTTGTCTTTTTTTTTTTTTTTTTTTTGGTCAGCAAAATCAGTCTGCACTATTAAACCATCTCTGTGAGAGAAATGGTTTATTTTGCATCGCATGTGTCCTGAAACCCTGACTGTATCCATTGTCTCATTCCACATACACACTTGCTGCTACCAACAGCAGTCTTCCTATAAAGCTGCGTCCTGATCAAGGATACGGCAGATGCCAGCAATCATCCCAGTGCGTGTGGGATTTGCACAAGTCCCTGAACACTGTCACTGCCTGCCATTCTGTCCAATTTATCTTGTGTCTGTCCTCCAAAAAACCCCAGGCAGATGTAGGCCACTGTGAATGTGAGGGACGAACGGCAGACTAAAGGATGGGACTTGGTGGAGGATGTTGGTGCTTCCTTTGAAAATACATAGTAACCTTCAAACAGATAAAATCATGCTGGTCTGTCTGCAGCAGACTGGATTGTGCTGTTTAGGAGGGTGGCCAGAATATCCATGTCAGGGAGGATACTTTGCGAACTACCACTTCAATCAAAAGAACCTGAATTCTTGCTTTGTGCCGCTTGCTCAGTCTCCTATAATTACGCAATAATCACTAATGTTAATGTGAAACAGCTGGATAAGACTTTCAATCATGGAAACAAACCAATCAAAGCACAGGAAGAACTGAACTAAGCCAAGCACAGGAGCCTTTCAGTTTTGAAGTAGTTTGTAAAACCTGAAGTAGCTCATAGTGTCCCTCCTGACATGGATTATCTGGTCACTGTTTTGTTCACCACATCCTTCTGTAGGTTTACATATGTTTGGGGGAAGTGAGTCAGTGTCAGTCTCAATGGTCTGTTTTTTTTTGGTTTTTGGTGGTTTTTTTCCTTCCTTTTTTTTAAACACACTATGGCTTAATGAGTGACTGTTTGGATGTTACCTCCATGTCAGGCCGAGCGAGCAGCAGGGAGATGTTGGTGCTGTCCTCTCGGGTCAAGATCGCTACTGCCTCCTCCCTGTTTTGTATGTCCACTCCATTGATCTGCGGCGGGGGGGCAAAGTGCTCCATTAATGCACCCTGATAAATAGCACCTCTGCAATAAGACATGCTGATGGAATAAGGCTGTTTTCATGATCAGACGGCCATAGTAGCCACCGCAGAATGCTAACAGCCTTCTTTCACTTTTCTTTAACAGCTGTGTCATATGAATGTGGTCATGTGATTGCGCCCCTTTGGTCAGATCAGCTGGGCCAGTTAAACATGGCAGCAATGTGCAGAACTATGGTGGTGTATGTCTGAATTGCAATTACTTCTCCTTTCCTAGGTTGAAATATTTGCTTTAAATTTGCATGAGTACCATATTTCGAAGGAGTGCAAACTGTGACTAATAAAGCAAAGCAGCAATTTGTCTGGCTGCCAAGTATAATTTTAGCACGGCTGCTAAACTGGAGAATGGGATTTTCAGCTGTGTTTAAATCATACTGTAATGACCCCTATTCAAATGAATACATTTAATTTATTGATTTAATATATTTCTTGTGCCCCAGACCGTCCTGTACGGGCTGATGCAGCAAACCTTGAGCGTACGTCACGTTTAGAAATGTTCTGTAAATTCAGTAAGATAAAAGTCATGAAATGCAAGCTGCATTTTATCAAAATATAGGTTTGTAATTTAACTGAAGCCATACAATTTAGTTGATTTGTAAAAAAACTCCTTTCATACAATGTGATTATTAAAATCGGAAATGTAAATATGCTGTTTCAAGGGGTGACACCTGCACCCCCTATTCAGTGCCGAAATTTCAAACACGGGTTTCCTTCTCCAGCAGGGCTCTAAGACCTGCAGTTGCCTTCATTTACTCTTTTTAGTCTGCAATTTTAATTCAAAACAGGCAATTTTTAGCTTATTGATGAAGCTCTGTAGGGAGTGATTTTCATTTAGAGGAGGCAGATGAACAGGTTGCAGGTATTTCATTCATGTCCCCTGGAGACTATCCTGATATATCACAAGGTAGAACAGGCAGTTAAAGATCTGAGTCATAATAGAAAAACTATTCACACACAAACTTACTGGTTTTGTTAATGAATTTTAGACAGATTTACATGATCTATGGTTGACTAGACACAACCTGTCAAGTGCATCCTGTGATGCAGGCCGTAGCGTAGCCATCCACCACGCAGACCAAAAGAAGAAGAAGCATGGTGTTTCATGATGTACTAGCTGTTTCTCTTGCAGTTCTTCAAACCCTTGGTTAGGGATTAGATGATGAGAATTATGCCATACATGATGTATACCTGTATGTAACAGATATCAGGCCAGCAGAGATGTACATAAAGGCCCAGGAAAAGGAATGGTCGATTTTCCAAAACTGAAAGCTCTGGAATGTACCCTTGACAGTATATTTCCCAGGAAAAATGATTGCTCATACAACACTGAGTCCATACCTTGCTTGGCCAATGATGTTCTCTAGCTATGTGCTGTGATTGATGAATTTGTGTCGATTCCTGACAACGCTCAACACAATGTCAAAATGTACCACATGACTGGAAGTAACCTGTCAGGTACAAACCCCATTGGAATGGGATGATGAAGTCACTGAAATAGATCTACACCCTAAAACACCAGCCACTGGAGGCTGCACTGCTAAATTCTGAATGTCATTCTACCTGTGAAGCATCGCACAGGTCTGCAGGACAATATAATTGTAATATCTGTCCCCTGGGAAGGAGCGGTTTGTCCACCCAGTCATTGTGCTTCTGGGCAACAGCTGTGAACCGGCCCACAAAACAGAAGTAATTACAGCTAACAGAAAAAAGATCAAACATTATTGTGCCGAAACATGGGCTATCTGCTTCCTAATGCTAGATCAAAACAAATTCCTAACAAGAAACTTTTAAATTATGTAACTGAGCAAGAAAACAAATTCTCCAAGCCTGTAAGAATGTTTGTATCTCTTGTAAAAATGTGTTGCTATGATTCATCTTGGGTCACCACCGTCTGTGTCACAATGTGGGAGAGAGATGTCAAGTCCAAAGTGAAGTTGGACTATACGCCGTGGTGCCAAACACCAAGAATATGCTTACAGGTGGATTTCATCAGACCAATTATTTGTTGTAGACATTTTCAAATAATGGATGGGAGCCTGTGCATGAACAACACAGCTGAAACAGCAGCCAAACCACTGGCACCTGTTCAGTACCTTAAAGAGACTCAGACCTTCTAGTGAAGGTGCTTACTTGACTTGAAACCATTATGGTGCTGTTGGGAGACGTATAGGAGTTTCACATTCTGTGGTATTCTCATAGCTCAGAAGGGGTGAAAATCATAAACCATCAAAACACAACTGAGAAAATGGCTGAGGAGATGGGCTACGGATGGTTTCAAATACTGCCAAACGTGTTGTGCGGACTTAAACCGTCCAAATGCTCAAAAATAGGAGCAAATACCTGGACATGACTGGTCAGGCCATGGGAGTGTTCACTAAAATGCTTCCTGAAGACACCCAAGACAGTACACTTTTCTGAGCTGGAAAGTTCAGGTTCAAAATGTACAAATTCAGACCAAGATTTTGCTTCAACCAATCAGTTGAGTTTAAAGAGTCACATTCACAGAGTTCTCAACTTGTTGGTTGGAACAAAATCTTGTACTTTCTGGACCTGAACTTTTTCAGGGCCAGATACTGAAGTATTTAAGGGTATTAGACAGGTCGACTGGGAGCAACTTCCAACAGAGCAAGAATGAAATCAAGAAATACATCAGAAATGATAAGACATTGATAGATGAAAACACAGAACAAATGGCCACTGATCGAGAAACCTAAAAGCGGGATGGAAGGGCTTTTACCAGGACTTGCTGATGTTAGATACCTCAGCACAATGTGGGAACCACAACAGCATCACTGGATCAGAGTCAAACTTGCCTGTCACAAGGAGGATTAGGAAAATAAGGAGACACGGTGATAAAAGGATTTAACTCACAGTTCGGTTTGCTTGAGGATTTTTCTGGGGGAGCATAATTTTAAGTTTGTGAGAGAGTACTATTGAGTACATACACGGCAAAATTCTTAAACAGGTTCTACTACTGGTAGAATAGATACTAGACACTGGTAGCCAAAATGACAGCTTGCTCAGCCGCCCAGAATTCTCTTGGGTAAAGCCGTCTTGGAACATGAAGAAAATCAAGCACTTAAACCCCTCAGCTGGAGTTTTTTTATCAGACAATCAAGTTCTTGTAGATGCCGACTGCAGGCCCAGTGATATTGCTGAGAAGCTCCCCTTCATCTGGGGGACTTAGCTGGAATCAGGAAGCTAGGAAGCCCCCTGGGTTTCCAATCATTTTGGACAAGCTTGAGTCCAGCCTTGGAAAAAGGGCAGTTTGAATTTACGGGCCCTGGATATGCATTGCTTCCCATACACACACCAAGTACCTTTATGTTGGAACAACATTAGCAAACTCACAGAAAGGCATCTAATAAGGAGTTGTCCTGTTTGCCATTCTGTCATCTTGAAAGACTAAAACGTAAAGACAGAGAAACTGCCTGAAATAAGACTGAAGTCTGTTGGCAGAATGAAAACAAATGGTTACTCTTTTATAAAGAGATTATTTATACCACAGATCAGTTTAAATATTTTAAGTGAATTATAGCAGCGTGATAGAATCTGAGATAATTTTAATTATTTTTTTAGTATTTCAAATCACATTTTAATATAATCTGAAACTTAATGGACAATTTGACATTTTTCAGAAATCCATAAAATAAAGTCTTTTTGGTATAAAGTTTCGCGATTTTTTACATACCAAGAGACCAGAAATAACCAGATAAAGCAGAGCCATGTATAGATTTCACTCTTTTATACCTAAATATTTATTGATATGCTCACTTCTATGCTCAATCTTTATATTATATGACCCATCCTTCAGAATTAGGCCAAATCACGTCCTACCACAAAAACTTTAAAATATTATATATGGACATGCTAATTCAATTTTATATTTAAAATATTTATATGTATGAAAGCAATAAGATTTACATAATTATTGGTCTACTTTTTCTTAACTTCTAAACTTGTGCCAGAAAACAGCCTTGTCCCAGGTTGTCAACTTTACCAACCAATTGAAAAATGTGTTAAAAGCCTTTAAAATCTAAAACTAACAATACCTACTGCTTATAATGCTGTACATTTTTATTATTATAATCATCTTTGTTTTAACATGTATATTTTTATGAAAATGGCAACCCTTTAAAGTTCTGTCCCAGATTTTTGTCAGCTCTGTCAGATTTCTACAAAAACATAATTTAATCAGGGATGAAAAGGATCAACTGTATCTTTGGAATCCTTGCCTCACTTCCTGGTTTCAAAAAAGGAGGGAATACTGCTCAAGCACTGGAAAGCTCTCTGTTTTTTATTGTTTTGATAAACTCATGAAATAACATTGAATCAGGTATGTCTCATTCATAACAGGTCAACTACGGATTAAAAATGCATATTTTGATTAGCATTAAGAGAACTCATACCAACTTTAAAAAATAAAATGCCTACTCGGTAAGACTATGCTGTGAAATTAAAAAATAACAGTTTTGTCAACTTTATAACATGTCAACTCTGTCAGATACTTTAAAGGTTTTGTTGTAATAGAGTTCAGTTAAAGTCTGAAACATCCAAAAATTGGAGATTCAAGTTTGAAATGGCATTCTGTGTGTTTCCAAGTGTTTTAAATGTTTGTGTACTTTTTATATGATGTCAACTCTGTCAGCTGGCTGTCAATTCGATCAGATGGATTTCTTTTGTTATATTCATTGTAAAGTATGCTCAGAATGATTTTAAAAATGAGTTTATGTCAATAGGAATTTCTGTTTCACACCTACTATGTGTTATTTGTGTTACATATGTGGTTTAAATTTTAATACTATGAATTTTGTTGTGATTGGCGGAGTTGACAAAATTCAACCACTAAGCTGCAAAAAATACCATTTAAAATGGCTCATTACAAAGTTTAATAGCCAATCATTCCCAGCATGACTGAAGAGTAAAATAGAAATCCCCCCAAAATAAGATTTTGTCCCTATTCTTAAGAACAAGTGATATATGTCCATCCACTGCTTGTCCTGTTCAGGGTTGAGGAGGATCTGGAACCTATGGGGACAAGGCAGGGAACAGAAGACGGTGGGGTGCCAATCCATCACTGGGTGCACTAGTGTTGTAGTCAAGACCGCCTAAACCGAGACCAAGACATTGCAGAGACCGGAGGGTAGCAAGACCAAGTCCAAGACCAAGACCTAAAACCGACTAGGGCTAGAATCGACATCACATTACTCAGATCAACTGTAGAGAAAAAAGGCATTGCTGTAAAGTGTCATTACTCGTTAAATCAAATTCATGTTATCTTTTCAATTATATTGTCCATATGTCCATATGTCTCTCATTTAAAATCTCCCAGATTTGTCATAGTTACGAGGCCTGATGGAAAATAATATTCTCAGCAATCCTCTCCTACAGTATAACCATTTTATCAGACCTCGTCAAGGGAAAGAGATGGGATGTACCAGAAAGATGTTCATATTAAGTGTGATGTGTAATGATCCTCTGCTTTGAATTGAAGAGAATGAGCCTCCAGATTGACTTACACCTCCAAGACCGTGCTTTCTAATGAATGAATATTCCTAATTTAATTGAATTATAACTATGCTATTAGTGCTGGGGGATAAAACGATCTCGATTTTTTATCGATAAAAAATAAGGACGATCACGATGATACACACAGACTATAAAACTCGATCAAC